TGACTATATAGGGAAGTTTATACAATTTTTTTTAACTTTTACACGAAACACACGTTACTTACAACACCAAATCTGCTGTTTCAGCTATTTCATGTCCTTCCGTGTAATACTTGATTTCGCCTTTGTATTTTATAAAGGGCAGTTTGCGCTTGATTTCTATTTCTTCAGGTATAGCAATATCGCCCTCGGCCATCGAGCGCGTATTACGAGTCAAGCGTGCGCTACGACGTTTTGGAGGGTTGTTATCTTGACCTGTGTTTTCTTTGTCCTGCGGCGCCTCTGCACTAACCTGGAAAGGAATATTGCAGAGATAAACGAGAGGATCCCAAATTCACTGCGTCACTGAAACTAAATATCTACCTCATCCTCACTTCTTCTCCTACGCTGTCGAATCATTGCCATAAAAGCTAACTAGCCTCTTATTGCTTTCAAAATTCAAATGAATTTAACCAAAAACAAAACCAGCTGCCGATGTGTCATAGAAAATTGCCCGCCAAACTAGATATGAAACGATACAAATGAATACTCGATACATAAAATTTCGGTATCGATACTTTCAAATCAAGCAGAGAGCAGCATTTTCCCCGATAATTTGGAATGAGCATAATGTAATAAACACTATGGCTGCGTTTCTTTATACATTCCGGATAATCCCATTTCACAGCCGGAATAAACAGAATGCATTTGAAATATACGTCAACATATCATCAGGAACGTTCTAAAGAATAAATAAACAAAAAAGTTTATTCTAAACGTTCAGAATGAATAAAGAAATGCAGTCTATGGGGAGGAGAAAACTCGAACTTCTCAAGAGCTGTTTGAGACTTTTTTGACAGCTCAATAAAGATAATCTACTTATATGTAAATTTGTATTAGTCCCCTTTGAGACACGTCAAGTCTTGAAAGCAATTTTTTTCGCATTCTCTTTTGTGTTTTCTATTTGCTTCCACACGCGTCAACTTTAATTGAATTCAAGTCCTTGGTTATTTGAATGGGAAGCAACGAAAATATCAAAAGAGACAAGAAAACTTGAAACGAATTGACGGTACGGAGGTATCTGTACTCTTCCCCTCTCTTCTCACGTCCTTCGCCTACGAACGAGCAGACTTGAAAGCAAGACTTGACGTGTCTGAAAGGGTTTTCATTGGACAATGCTGTCAAGACAATGAAGTAGAGATGCGGAAAACGATATTCGAAGCTTCGATATTCGAATTTTAATGGACTTTTAGCTACAAAACGCGAATTTTTTAGATCGAACTTTGTATTGCTAAAATTCGGATAAAATCGATTTTTTCAAAAAAAAATCTAATTTCATCTTTATTTCCAAAAAAAAATACAACTCTTCAACTTTCTTCTTTCTGACTAAATTTGCCATCACTATGTGTGGCACTCAATTTGTCTTAGGGATGCAAATAAAAAAAATACCTGTTTTTCGAACTGATGGATCGGGACCGAAAATTTGTGCCTAGAAGGAACTCAAATTAAAAAAAAAAAAAAACAATTTGTAATAAACTATTTTTTTGTTGATTTTTTATTTTAAATGTTTAGAGGATCTTACGTTAGTGGCATGAAGCTTTCGCCTGAGAAGACCCCTAGTAAAATTTTCTGGAGAAAAATTTTCTAGAATATATCAATCCTCTAACGACCTTCCAAATTTGCTTTTTGCTTGATTTCTTGAAGTAAGGGTCAAAATGACCCTTTTAGGCGCGAGGTAATGGGTTAAAATGTTCTACGAAAATATTTTCCATGAAATTTTGTCATATATGTTGTTGTTGTTGTTGTAGCAGCACGTAGTCCCCGAATTGATTGGTTGCTTATTCATCTTCATCTTCCCCATCTGACTCCTCCAACCTTAGGCCCAGGAAGCGAGCAGTCTCGATAGGTTGAGTCCACAGCGCTTCGGGTGTCAGATGGGAGGGATATTTAGGGCATACGAACAAGTGTGCGGTGTTGTGTGGACCAGTTCCGCATGCTGGGCAGGTGTCAGCGATCTCTGGGTCTAATCTGTTTCTGTATGAATTTAAGCGACTGGAACGAGAGCTTGAACCGACAATTTTCCGGTTATTCACCGTCGGAATTGGTTTGCCATCGACGAGAATACGCAGCTTTCGTCCTTGTAGTAAAATTGATGCCGAGGATTTTGTAAGGAGGAAGGTTAGGCTCCTTGCAGTGAAGGAGCGAAAAAATGTGGAGTGCTAACCCTTAATACTTAAGCATAAGTCATCAATTTCATTGCCGGACGCATTGTAATTTTTTTTTTGCCTGGATTGTGTCTTGACGGGATTTTGAGTTGTCGGGATTTTGTCTTGTCTGAATAATGTGTTATCTGTATTTTATTTGGTCTGGATTTTGTTATGTCTGCATTATGTCCTGTCTGGATTTTTTTACTTTCTGGATTTTTAAAAATTGTCTGGATTATGTCTTGTCGGGATCTTTAAAATGGGCATTATGGAGTGCTTCCATCTGGGCTGGTTTCGGCTGTCCCACAGTGTAATTTGAGTTTAACTTTTTAGACAAGGGGTCTCTCTACACGCACCTCAAAAATATTTTAATTGTTGCGTAGTATTTTAAGCACAACTCTGTTTAACTATATTCGACTTTTCAAACAGATCGCACCATCGTAAATGTTTAAAATAAAGGTTTATTCAAAACCATTTCGATTGATACTAATATTGCGGTAATTTATTTAATTTATTAAATAATTTGATTTTGATTTTCTTACATATGGCACAAAACTAAATCCATATTACACATCAAGCCCGCGGAAGCGATTATTTGAATTTGACCCCCCATTTTTTTAAATTGAACGAACGAAACACATTTTATGACTTGGTGTTAGATATTTAACGCAGACATCTACGAACTCGATTAAGAAGTTTGAATTAAACAAGTTTTTGGAAAATTCGAAAAAAAATCCAATTAAATCGAATTTGCACCCCCAAATTTCGAATCGAATAATCGAGTGGCTGGGCATTGTTCGAAATTCGGAAAAAATCGAAATTCAACCCCCCTAAACATCCTTTCAATGAAGGTATACGAATTAGTTGTCAAAATTTTTCCAATGGAAATATATGCATGGCTAAGTGAAAAGTCTGCATGTATTGCTATTAGTTGCGTTCCAGATAACTTCGTGTAAAAACCTGTAAAACTGTCAAATAACAAAATTACTCTCTTGAAATAGAGGAGCGAGAGCGAAACAATAGAGGTCAGCTGGAACGCGAAAAACTACTTTTCCTGTAACTACTTCCATTTTTTTTTAATGTAAAGTGCCATGGAGACGATAAAATATCGTTATCAACCGTCTCGCGTTATGCTTGACAAAAGAACAAGCGCTCTTGCCTTCTGATCGTCGTGGTGAGCAAATACGCGGACAAGCAAATTAATTGTTTGTTTAATTGACGAGTTTATTTGAACGCTTGCGGGCCAATCTCACACAAATGCAATGCTTTACGTATTTATTTTATTGTCTCCGTGGCGCTTAAGGTTCTGTTTTTGTTTACAAATGTAACTCTGCCTATCTTACTTTTCATGAACTTGCAGGAAGAAAAGCTTCGGACTAAAACCTGCAACTTCTGACTGAGAGAGAGAGCAAGTTACTCTCACAAAAGTGGTTTGACTTTCAGGTTTTATAGCACCTGGAACGCTTTCCTGCAAAAAAACTGCAAATCGTGAATATCGTGAGCACCTGGAACGCAACTATTGTCATGGCAGTATTGTCTGGTGTAAACCATAACTTAAACGGCGTTTCCACGCCAACCGAATCACGTGGTTCGCTCTCTCAATTATGAACGTATGAACCAAACATACAAGATCACGTAAGAACGCGACGTTGTATTTGTAACTGGTTTTGAGAAAAAAGGTTGCGAAAGCGGGTTCGTCAGCTGAGCGTTTGTTTACATCACAAGCACCACTATTTTACACTTTCATTCAAGTAAAGAAGAGTTAATTCAACATGACAACACATTTTAAAGCATTTTGTTGCATCATTTTACCTAAATTGTGCGTTTAAAGTGGCTGACAATAATTTTGGCTAATTTTGGTTTTCGTTGTTTTCTTTGCCTTGTTTACTTTTCGCTCGTTTTCCAGTGAAACAAGATGGCGTAGAACCCGCAAAAAAAATCGACTTTTTTCACTCTCTTGTTCTTACGTGATCTTGTGTCTTTCGTTCATGTTATGAACGGCGAATCAATCTCTTTACACGACACATTCCTGATTCACTTTGCATCTCTGCTTCTTGTTCTTTGCTTTTGCTTAATGTTTAATGTGCTGTTTATTGTGCATTTCACGGTGGAGAAAAAATGGGCAGTGGTTAATTAGCTAAATCAATAGTTTTAACGAATCTAGCTATTTTTTCAATGTTTCTGCTGGTGGGGATGTGTGTGGTCTATGTGTTTTGACAGCCGTTATCGATAAAAATTAGAGAAGACAACGATTTGTTCTTGATTCGCATGTTGATTGGATCTGAATCACCTACGAATGAAGTGCGTCGCTCTCAAAATTTTGTATGGCGAATTACGTATTCGGTCACGAATAGAGTGCGAATTATGAATGGGAGAGCGGATCACTTGCCATTGAAACATCGTTTTAGGGTTGTGTTGACAGCTTTGTCCAATGTAAACGCGCTGTAAGTTACATCCTCCAAAGAAAAACTGGGAACTGATATGCAACCGTGGGAATTAGGGCGGGCAGCTGAACCGTGCCATTTTTCGCCCTATTTTACTTCAAGTGGCACTTAATTTATCAATTTGGCACAAAGTACCAAAATGTTTTTTTGAAATATTTTAATACATTTTTGTGAAATCCTTTTTGTGTACTTCTTTTCCTCAACTAAATTTTTTTTTAATTTCTAGAGTGTATACAACTGGACTGGCACTGGACTTTTTTTTAGAAATATGCTTCTAGTTTTATTGCTAAATGGGAAGACTTAAATGGAATGGCACCTTTTTTGGCACTTTTATTTTTCTATTTGGCATATTTTGGCGTTTTTTTATCCTAAATAGGGCACTTCATAGCTAAGGAAAGTGGCAACCCTGGTGGCAATCAGGAACATCTGTTTATTTCAGGTCTAACCACAATTAATAAAGCCGGGCTATAGTTTTTGATCTAATTTGTTTTGTAATATATTTTTTGATTTTGTGGCGGAAATTATAACATAAAACACGGCATCATGGATACAAGTGTGAATACGTTCTTCGTATCGGAGAAAATATCAAAAATTCGCTGGTTGCCGGAGAAGTTGGAAGCAGCAGAACGTTTCCTCACTGGCAGTTGGGAGATGCCCGCTAATTTTGTGCGTTTATGGCGATTACAGCAGAATCAATACGCTGATGACTACAACGAGTTTGTACCGCGTTGTTGTGACAAACAATCCTTCAACGGTGATGTTACCGGGCTTGAATTTATTGCAAATGATTTGGCTGTGGTTAGCTGCGCTGATGGTAATTGGTTGTTTAATAGTTGCGCTTTTGCAATATAATTCATTACATTTTAAATCCATAGGACGTATTACAATACTACATGTTACACGCGCCGTTGAGGATGATGTCTTAAAACAGAAGGCGCAAAGTGATGTACTTCACAAATTTGAAGCAAGTGGCTCTGCGGCACCTTGTACAGCAATATCTGCATACGAAAAGGAAATTGCCACTGTAGGCGAGGATGGTCGCTTGAATATTGTTGATGCTAATGATGTGCATAAAGTGCGACGCACCATTGAGGCAGACAGCATAGCGCTGACTGCTTTAAAATACGTCAATCCTCGTGAGGTGCTAACAGCAAATCGTATGGGTGTCATTCGAATGTTCGATGTACGTGCCTCAGCCGATGAAGTAGCTGTCACAGCTTTTATGACTTCATGTGAAGAGGAAAGACGTTCAAATTATGTATCCGCGATCACTTCGCATCCAACACAACCGCATATTGTACTAGCTGGATCAGAGGAGGGCTCCATAACCGTATGGGATCTACGACAACCAGGTTTTCCAGCATCTTATTTGAGCGCACATACCAGTGCTATAACTGAAATTGGTTTCCACCATAGAGAACCTTCCAAGCTCTTTACAGCTGCGGAAGGTGGTGAGTTGTGGTTGTGGAAGCAACAGTCGAGTACGGGTATTACTGATATGGAAGCATCTGCAGCGGAACACTGTAACCCTTGGTTAAATGGGGAGCGTGCTAAAAGCCGAATAAATGTTACATCATTAATTTCAAATTTGCGAAAATCTATTAACACCTTCGATGCAAGTGGCTCAAAGATAATTTGTGGCAGCGATAGCGAAGCAATTTATTTTATTGATAGTATATATTAAATGTTATTTTAAAATAATATGTAGTTGATATTAAATGAGGAAAGTTTTTGTAAACGATCTATATATTTTATTAATTCAACTCTTAAATTAGTGTTTAAAACAGAAGTTTAAAGATTGTTTCGCATTCTGAAGGATAGAGTTGGTTTAGTGTGGTTGTGACAGCATACGAATTCCCCAAAGAGTTTTTGGCGAATGATGCCTGGAATGACAGCCCTTGGCCAAATATGAATCGGGATGTTCCACCTACGTAGCCCCGACTGTCGTGGGAAAGTCTCTAAGTTTATATATCCGGTTCGTAACTTTTCTTAGTTAAGACACAAACAAATTACGTACATGCAACCGATTTGAAAGTTTACAACGGAAATTAGCTTTTAAAGTTACTAGAATTATCCGAAGAAGCTTTTAACAAGTTGAAATCATTGCGATATCGATTTTCTTTTTATATAGCATAGCATTTATGTAAGTATATCGCTCATTTACTTCAATAGTGTCATAATCCAAAAATTACAAATATTCAGGGCAATCACGGAAACCATCGTAATCCGATTTTTCGTGAAATCTGCGAATCTGCTATCACTGCGTGTATTAAAAGTATACGCTACGTTCGTAGCTCTTCGAATTCAGCGATCGCATTTTCATAGATTTCACCATAAATCGGACTACGGATTCTGTGATAGCCCACATTAGTTGTGTTTATTTGGGTTATCCAGCTCATATAATTAGCTCAAACTTAGTGAAAGACAACATTTTATTTATTTATTTTACTTTTTATTATTTGTCAATGTTGTTGTGGCTTATTAACATTTTGCTTATAATATTATTATTGAGCTTTGTACCACAATTCTGTTTTTTTATTATGTATTGCTAGATACCTGAGAGCCCAACTTAATTTTTAAGTTATTGAGGTACCTTACTTAACTCATAGCTGTGGACCGTGTGCAAAACTGTCTTATTTAAAGTATAGTCCAACCTTCCACAAAAAATGGTCAATGGCTTTATTAATGGTTATCGCAAATGCAATTATCACTGGAAATTGGCACCATTCCATGGTGAAAGGCATTTAGTTTCATACTTTTAAACTACAGCTTTCTTAATCCTTTCAGTACAAAAAATTAACCGCTAAATTTAAATATTTGAAAATTAACCATTGAATTGTTCATTTCAAAAATGAAATGAAAATTCTTAAAAAGCCCTTAGTTTTACCGTTACTTAGCCTCCATTATATAGACCAGTAGTAGTAGGTCTTTAAAAAAGAAAGTGATTTCAACTATTTTTATTTTATTATTATTTTTAAATAATACCTAGATTTTATTTTCAATCTCAATTGCTCTGAAAATTGTTTAAAAATTTTCAATAGAGTACATTGCTCGCTATCGGCTTATTTAAAAAACAAGGTCAACTGTACAATAAACTTTAATCAAATAAACGAGGTAAAGAAGAATGATATAGTTTTCTCAAAACAAAAGAACAGCTCTTAACCACAAAAGCTCTTATTTACGAAAAAAGCCCTTAAGTCACAAAAAAGTTTTTCCAATATATTGAACGTTGTAATTGTTGGTTGATGTATAGTATTAAAAAACATACAATAAATTTTTCCTTAAATAACATTTGTATAAAATTTTATTTACCTAGAAACGACAAAAACTTCTCATTAAAATTTATGTACATGCATGCATTCGTATATTCACAGCAACTAAAATTCAAACTAATGATCTTATTTATAAGAAACAGCATAACTATATATTAAATTTTAAATTTCTATAAAAATAGCAAATTATAAAACATTTCCAATTTATTTAATGTTTAATGTTTATAATTAAAAAAACAATTATTTAATTGTTGCGTAGGGTTTTGAAATTTCATCATCAATGTACGATAAACAGGGCCGCGTGAATGGTTGTGTTATAGCGTTGATCCAAACATTGGCGACTGAAAAACATACAAAAATATAGATAATATCCTAGTCCAAAGAAAATAAATAAAAATAAATAGGCTGCAATACTTTAGAAAATGAAAACAAGTAATTTTTAAGCAAGCAAGTAGTTTTTAAGCAAAAACCAAAACCAACTTGAATTCTCATTTAAAAATTTAAGACTATTTTTCATTTGTTCATGATCCAATGATGAAAATTTCATGAAAATTTGTCAAGTGCACCAGGAAAAACATTTAACGGCAGCATTTTCTTCAAAATCCACCTCGTTGTTGCTATGGTTACTGGTAACCAACGTGTAATCGAATTTTTTTCTTCCGAGGTTTTTTTGTCGAGTTATACGAGCGAATTTCAGCCCTTTTTCTTAGAGTCACAAGTTTTCTTAAAATCTAGTCTCATGTCACACTTATAATAGAGAATCAAAAATTGCTGACCTATTAGAACTTTTTTCGTGCTTTTTGGTGGAAACTATAATTTTTCGGAAAAATTTGCTAAAAAAAAAAATTTCACTGCATTCTTTAAACAATGTCCCATATTTCTTTTTTTCGCAAATGGCTTATTTCGAAAGCTTTGTTTCTAAGCTTTTCAACGATATATCAATTGTATTCGGCGTGGCAAAGGACTTCAAGTTTTTCATCATAGAACGCACTCGGGTCCGCCTTGCTGTTTTGTTGGCAATAATACAAGTTTACAGAAATAAAAATTGTCCGACCAGCGACATTTGTATATACATCTTAATGTAAAATTTCCCGCTAAATCCGAATACACAGTTAAAATATAAGGGAGTAGAACAGTTTTTGAGATATAGCCGAATTTCGGGTTTTTTGGGATCTGAAAAAAGTGC